TTTTAATTAGGCAAAGGAAGAAAAGGACAAGGAGCGTCAGGCTAAAGCAGAAGCTAGTCTTAAAAGACGCGAAGAAGAAGTTCAAAGAACGTTGGCTACTCATATGAGGGATCGGGAGAAGGAAAGGGAGCAACATAAAAGAGACGAGGCTAGACAAGTAAACATAAACCTGACTATGTTCAATGTCGTATTTTTTATGCTACATTTTACTTATAGCACTTCAACGCATTGCTCGTTGACTTGGTTCGAAATTCGGAACTGAGCTGGAAGGAGGTAAAGAGAATCCTAAGGAAAGATCATCGGTGGGATCTGGCCGAGTCTCTGCCTCGTGACCAGAAAGAAAAGCTATTTAATGAACATGTTGAAGCTTTGCTGAAGAAGAAGCGTCAGAGCTTCAGGGAAATGCTAGATGAAACATCTGAGGTTAACCTCGTTAGCAACTGGAAAGAAATAAAAAAGCTTATCAGAGATGATCCAAGATATACAAAATTCTCTTCCAGCGAAAGGGTAAGATATAGAAAACTGAGAGTTCCTTATTGTTAGAATTTAATCAATTTATTGAATAGTGTGAACGAGAATTTAAGGATTATCTAAAAGATAAACTGTTGACTGCGAAAAATCAGTTTAAAGAATTGTTGCAAGAAACCAAACTGATAACACACAAATCATTGACGTTGCTCAGAGAAAATCAAAATCACATGCAGGAAATTGAAGACATTCTGAAAAATGACAAAAGGTAATTCGCTTATGTTCCATAATTTTCCAAAAACTGTGCTAATTAGAATCATTCTTATAGATTTTTGATTTTGGATCATATACCACAAGAAAGGACTCAATTAATTTTGAATTATCTCGAAGAACTCGATAGAAGGGGTCCCCCTCCGCCTCCGACTGCTACGGAGCCAAACAGGCGAGCTAAGTAATAATTTACATCACAGCCGCATTAATATCAGTTTACTTTGTAATTGCATTATTATAAAATGGTTTATTTGCTTTTTAATTACTGTTATTTTGGCATGGGCTGGGTTCAATTATCAATAGTGAACAGTCCTAAATGCAAGCTTATTTTAATCTCGCATTTAGTGAACATTTGGTGGAGAAACCTTTTAAATAAACGGTTTATCTTAAACCTTTTTTGTTTTTTTGCCCTTTTTTCTTGTGATTAATGTTGAAAATATTTCAATTTAATTTAAACGACAATTAAATTCAATCCCAATATTCTGTGTATGTAGAATTTTTATTTGATTTTTTAGTATCAAATAATCGCTTCTAAAAGGTGTTAAAATACAGCTTAATTTGTGGTAGGCACAAAATCTCGCAAATTGAGCACCTTTGCATTTGGAATTTGCTACGCTCTGAGTTAGCATTTGATCAAGTCCATATCAATCCAAATATATTCTTTATTACACGCTCATAATCAAGACATTCTCAACGTACATGTTATTAATAACTTACAACAAAACGCCTTGCACAGTCAATTCTGGGAAGTAACTTACCACCTTTCTAAAACTATCTACGGTACAGGCATAGGCAAAACCTTTTATTTGATTATTTCTATCCCAGTTTATCCAGGTAATTTTGTCAGCAATGTCCTCACAGATCCGTTGATATGTTTCCAAATAGGGATTATTTACGACGATCAGAACGATTCCCTTTTGTTTAATTGGCTCATACGCAATTTTCCAATAGAGTTCTGGTACTGGCAAAGCTTTTGTGTTATT